CTCTCTCTTTGTCTCTGTATCTCTCTTTGTCTCTGTATCTCTCTTTGTCTCTGTATCTTTCTCTCTCTTTCTCAGTATCACTCTCTCTCTCTCTCTGTCTGTGTCTCTATCCCTCTCTCTGTCTCTGTTTCTCTCTCTCTCAAAAATGACTTTGTCTGTCATATCTGATTAACTGTTATTGCTCAAATTTCTGATCTTTAAGTTTTCATATCCCTTAGTGGCAACCCTTGGATTGGAAATAAAGATCTCACCATTGACAAATACGCCAAAGACATTCCATTCTTAGACAAGTACGCCTTGGAGAGATGGGAGGTAAGTTACATAAACGTTTGCAAGTTGGAAACTTTGGTTCTGCAGGTCTAGTCCAGTAGAATGATAGTGTCTTCTTGTCCACCCCTTTTTATATCACAGTGGCTGGACCTGAACTTAAAAGGAAAACAACGCCATTTAAAAAATAGAATGGAAAAAATTCTGCAGTCTCTAATTTTAAGAACGGCAGTGTTTGTAGTAACAAAAGAAGTTGCAAGTGCTTATTTCTTAGTATAAAATTATCCAGAAGAACACTGGATATATACACTTTTTATAATGTACATGATTTTTTAAAAGTTAATTAAACTTTTAATCATATAATTATATAATCATTTGAGACATGAATATGTTATAAATCTGGGTTTTGGAATCTCATAAATATACTATGTTTGTCAATTAAGATTAACACTTTGCCATCATATTTTGGGGGAAAATCCAAAGAAATTGGGTGGTAAACATCGCCAATCGGCGGTATGAGGCGGCAAAGTGTTAAAAATGTGTGTATGACGGACTGGTGTTAAACTGATTTCCTCTGCCATTGCTAACGGCCTGTTGTGTATGTTGTGGTCAGTGTGTCCTCCACTTCATGGTAGGCTCTAACCAGGGCACGGACGGGGTCAACACAGACATTACAGACGTGTTGCTACACAGCGGGCTTATGAGGGTGTGAGTAATTCTGTGTGTCTGTGAATGTCCTTGTGTGTATTTGGTCGCTTTTAAGGACAAGCAGGCTAACCCAGATTTCGCGGGTTTCCAGAAATCTTGACCTACTCCAAAAGTGGGCATTGCCCTACCTAGAGGAGAAGTTTGGTTTCATTGGTGTATATATTTATTTAGTTATAGAGAAAACTCCCCTTGTCTTTTAAAGAATGTGAACTTTATCTTCGATTTTCTCAAAACAGCATTTTTCGAGATAGCCCCCTTGTGTTTAAAAGCAACCAATTAGTGCGGGTTTGTTTGTTTATGTTTCTGTTTGACTGAAAAAAAATATGGGTATATATGTGATGTTTGGTGTAGGCATGTATCTTTTTGGGTTGTTTTAAAAAAAAATAATATGTGATAAATTGTGATTGTTGTATACTATTATGTGTAGATCGTTTAAACTTATGAAGTGTCTCATGTTATGGTTGATTTGAATTGAAAGGCACCAGAGAAGATCTTCTATTCTTTCCTTTCAGTTTGTTTGTATCTGGGACGAATGACTGTCATGTCTGAGAAAAAAAATAATTATATGTTAGTTTTTTGCTTTGCTGAAATTTTTTTAAAGACAAAAAACTATGTAGCTTAACGAGCAGTATAAAAGTGATTCATGGAAAAGGAAGTTTTTAATGATGTTTTGTTTTTATTGATAACAAGCCATTTCCTGCTTGTTTATTTGTTTTATTCTTCCTCTGTACTAGTTGGCACGGAAATACATTTCAAACACTGCCTGGAAAATACATGTAATAATATGTGTGTGCAAAAAATGAAGAGATACTAAAAGAATTTATCTGTACATATATGAGTCACAATCCCTTGAATTATGGGTGTTACGTGTGTCCAGAGATGAGGGTGAACCGTCCATCACAGCGGAGGGATTCCAGTTCCTGCTGATGGACACCTCCTCTCAAGTCTGGTTCTTTTTGTTACAGTATTTGGACACAGTACAGGTCAGTAAAGCTTGTTATTTATGGCTTGTACGTACATTATTTGCACTCACATAGTGTCACACTCACCCTCGGCCCTCGCCTCCAATTGTATTTTTCCCCCCTGTTTTTGGCTATTCAACATGTTGATATAGCTTCTTCTCGCACTCTAACATACAGACATAATAAATATAAAGGCAACACTCAATTATCAGTGTATCTGGTGTAATGGTTGGTGTCTTTGGCGTTCAGTGCTGAAGAAGCGAGTTCAATTCTAGCTTGAGAAAGTTTTTGTTGGTTTCTTTCTTTCTACTGGGATAATGTATCCGTTTCAGCCCGAGGTTGGCCTTGACAGGCAGGGTCGAAGTGGCACAAATAGATTGAAATTGTGTTGATTGGGAGGTGTAAGACATTTAGTTTAGAATAAGTTACCTCTCAATTCTCATTTATGTAGGGAAATGGGCAAACAGATGGATACTCAAACACCTGCACTCTTTCTAATCTTTACTTGCACTCATGCACACACCCACACACATACACACTCACGTATTCTCACTCTCACTCCAACTCATACACGCACACACTTGTTTGCTTGAGTGAACATGAGACGTGAGATGTTAGCCTTTGAAAGACAAGGACCTTTGCCTGTGTCTGAGTCACACCCTGTACTTCTCACCTCCTGTTGTCCCCAGTCCCGAGGCATGGACCTGGTCGAGTGTCTCACCTTCCTCTTCCAGCTCAGTTTCTCCACACTAGGGAAGGTAGGTGTCTTTATGTGTGCATGGGTGTGTGTGTGTGTGCATGGGTGTGTGTGTGTGTATCTGTGAGCCTTTAGCTTGGCATGTGAGTTTGACTCTTTTAACATATATGTATGGGATGTCACTGGTTGATGCTACTTCATGTGTTTTTGTCTTTCTGTTCTGTCTTGTTTTTTCCTGTTCGTAAATTACCATTATTGTGTTGATGTGCTTCTCTGTAGGCTAGGTGGCTAATGAAAGCATTTGAATCTGATCTGTGCTTTATTGTCTTTATTTTATTTTGTCTTTAGTCAGCTTGTTACCTCGTCTGTGGTGCTATTGTCCTATTCTTTTCCATGGGTAGTGTTGCACTCTTTGTGCTGACTCATCATAATATACATCTCAAACAGTAACTCTGGGGTCATCGGAGGGCGCCACTGGTAGGCCCTGCTTCTTTACTTATCTTCTGTTGTTTCTATCTGTCTGTCCTACTTTTTCCCACCACTAAATGACTATTGCTGTGTCAATGTGCTTCTCTTTACTCAAACAAACAAAAAAATCAATCAAACAGTAACTGTGTTATCAATACATCTTATTTTTCGTACAATTTTAGTCCTTGCTTGTCAGTTAGATTCTGGGTTGTTCGATGGTGCTACTTTTACTTCTTAACTTTACCAGTGTTGCTTATGTCAATAAGTATTGCTTTCTCATAGTCTGAATGATCATTATTGTGTCGATGAACTTCTATTTTCTCAAACAATTAAAACTTTTTATATGTATGACAGAATTTAGTCTGTTTGTGAGCAACATTTTTCACAAGTTTTTAAAATTTTCATTAATGTTCTATATTTCAATGTTTATTACCCTTTGTGTGTCTGTGACCTGTAGGACTACTGCACGGAAGGGATGAGTGAGAACCAGCTGAGGTTTTTACAACATCTCAGAGAGTTTGGTCTCGTCTATCAGAGGAAGGTGAGTCAATGCTGGCCCTGGCTCACAGCTCTGCTTTGTTTTTCATGTGTTTGTATAAATGTGGGGGAGTGGGGGATGTATCACCTTACGGACCCTACCTTTGCCTGAGGAGGAAGATAGGGAGACAGAGGCCAATACTGCTATGGAGAGGATGATGCCTTAAGGAATACAAAATGGAAGTGGAAAATCAGGCATCCTTGCAGGAAAGAACAGAAGAACATTCAACCAGATATGCACCGGCACAATGAGCGGAAAAACCCTCAGCGACATTTTGGAGAGAGCAACGGAGCATCAATGGAAATGTCCGGAATACAGGGATGTTGCCTCCTGAAACAATGAACCTGCGCACTGAATGCAGGCCTCAGCATCTGATGGTGTGCATCTTGCTGTCAAACCGAAGAAGATACATAGGTCATGTAGACTTGGTATGGGTAGGGCTGAAAAGTGTTACAAGTGGTTAAAAATAACACTTTGGTGTGTTCTACTTCTTCTCCTTAGAATGTTGTGCCGTTTCAAATGAAACAAGACTCACAGAGTTTCATGAATAAAAGCAGTAGGCCTACCTGTAGGTTACTATTGAAGTTATCCTCTGTGCATGTCAAGGAAAATTGAAAGTACAAAGTATGAACATTTTCATGGATGGCTGGTGGGGGCTCTGATGTGGTTTGCTCCTTCTTTCCTATCAAACATCTATTGTCGTTATCTCTCCTCCTCCTTATTTGTGTTGGTTACTATCTTTTAACACCACTAATCATCTGCACTTAATTATGACCTTATTGTGTTGCAAGTGCTGCAAAACTCTTACAAGGACAAAAAAAAAGCCAGATAAATTTCTTCCAATGCGGTCAATGAGATTTACTTCTATAATTTGTCCTTTGGTTATGAAATCTCCAAGGCGTGAGTGAGAGAGAGGGGGAGAAGGATCTGTCAAATTGTAGTGGCGTTTCTTTTGGATGTTGACAGGGGGCATGCATGATTAGAGTTTATGAACAGAGTAATACTTACAGAGGAGCGGGTGATTGAAGAGTCCTACTTCTTTATCTTCTCTCGGTTGTTCCTATCTATCTGTCCTGCTTTTTATGATTTTTAGAGTGGGTGATTGGCGGGTGCTCTGGTGTGGTTTGCTTCTTCTTTCCTATCAAACATCTATTGTCCTTATCTCCCCTCCTTTTTCATGTTTGTTACTCTCTTGTACCAGCTCTATTCTTCTGGCGCTCATTTGACCTTATGCAGTTGCGAGCACCGTAAAACCAGTACTAGAAATAACAAAACTCTTACTAAAACTGGATTATTAGTTTTAGATAACCATTACAGTGCCCTTGTGCTTCTCTTTGCTGGAACTAAACTTGCTGCAATGAAATGTTCAAGGGTCTGCTGGGGTAATGTTATAGTGTAAAGAGCATAAAGCTTGCTGTCACGTGGGAATATGTGCTATACAAATGATAATAATTTTTTTAAATTATCATCATCGTTATTATTATTATTATCATTATCATTGTCATTATAATTATGATGAAAAAGAAGGCAGTTTATACCCACGGTCTGTCTACTATCGTGTGTTCTCTACAGCGCAAATCTCATCGCTACTACCCAACAAGACTCGCGGTGAACATAGTGTCGGGTCTGTCCAAGGCCGCAGTGGACACGCACCGGCCCGGTTTTATCGTTGTTGAGACCAACTACCGCGTCTACGCCTACACAGGTATGTCTTCTGTGTGTACTTTTGTATGTGGGATTTTTGTTCTCTTGTGGAGGGTGGCAAGGGGAATGGAGAAGGAAAAATGAAAATGTGGGCCCTGGAGGGTGGGGGGGGGGGTGCAATTGCTTTTCATACTGGTTCTTCTTTCTTCTCAACAAAAGGTTAGCTTTTGGAGAGTAGAGAATTTAGAATGCCAAATGAGAGAACATTTTATTGATTTCCTTTTTTTTTGTCTCGCTAGATTCCTTTTATGTTTTGATTACTGATGTTTGATGGAACATAAATCCATTAACCTTTCTTGTCTTTATTTTATTTCTTGGCAGATTCTCCTCTTCAGATTGCCCTCTTGGCCTTGTTCTGTGATATGCTTTACAGGTGAGTTGTCCAAATAAGTTTCTAAAATCCTAACTGTTTTTGGGGTAAAATTACCTTTAGGAGTCTTTGACTGAGCTGTATTTTTTTATCATTATAGAAGCTTAACATAGTCAACAGTTAGAGAGAGCAAGAAATGAAGGGTCAAATAGTTTTTAAAACGCTTTTCAAAACTACTGTTGCATTACACCTTAAACCAGGAGCATCATCATCATTGTCAGTTTTTTGCTTCCGCTACATAAACAGTTTCACATGACCTGTAGACCCATCTCAGCAAACTCTTTGGTCACTTTTTTATTGTCAGTAGATTGTAGTTTGCGTGTTTGTAATACTGCACGGAACTGTTTCCAGAGTGTTTTGTGTCTGCTCTGAAGAAGATGTTGAATGTAAAGAGTTGATATCTCCATAAAATAGGAATAAGGACTTTGTCTTTACCTGGATGTTCCCATTTTTCTATATATTTTAACTTAGATTTGAAAGCTCTATCATTCCCTATCACTGTAGTACAGACTAATTTAAAACAGACTTTTAGTATAATCTTGATTTTAAATAGCAAAATAAACCTATAAGCCTATTACACCAAGCACTGAGGCTCTAAAGGAAGAGGAAGACCTTGCAAGAGGTGGATTGAGGGAGTCAAGGAAACCCTGAGAAATTATAATATCCTAATTGAAAGAGCTGCAGAGCCGGCTTACCATAGAAAACTGCATCTCCCCTCAATGCTTAACGGCAACAGGGCATGAAAAAGTACAAGAAAGTAAGTAAATAAATAATGGCCCTTCCCTTGGCTCAGTGCATGCTTTGAACTTTCTCTTCGTATTCCAGATTTCCAAACATGGCTGCTGCAAATTTGTCCAGAACAAGTGTCAGAGCTGCTCTGTCCAGGGGAATCACAGCTGATCAGGTGTGTGTGTGTGTGTGTGTGTGTGTGTGTGTGTGTGTGTGTGTCCTGTGTATGTGTGTATGAGAGAGTGAGGGTAAGTACATAGTGGGGTTGTAAGCTCATATGTGTGTTTACAATATATGTGTTTGAGGAAGTATTTGAATAAATGAAAACTTTTATTGATCTCAGTGAGAAAGTAAGATTAGTGTCCGACTGTGCAGCATCTTATATTTTAGGTAAGGTTATTGTGTTTACTCAAGGATGCACCACAGTAAACCATCTATCTATTCTAAACAGGGATGAACAAGAGTTTGTGTATTTGCACGTGTCTGTGTCTATGTGTGTGTGGTGTGTTAGAGGAAGAAAAAGAAAGACTGAAGTTTGTATTGAATTTAGAATTTGAATTAATTTAACTTCATATTTGATATTCAAATGTTTACTTAGAGCTGAATTCTGATGTTAATCCTGAAAATGTCTGGGGTTTTCATAGAAGCGGAGAGGAGGAAATTCTTACCCGTATATGCGTCTGTGGGACCAGGTTTTTGCCCTTCTTCTTTGTTTGCTCAAAGCTTTTTTTTTTTTTTTGGTGCCAGATGTTAGTTTCATACACTAAATGTTTCCTGATGTTAGAGGAGGTTGGTATACATTAGTAGAGTGGAAAATCACTTGAAGTCCAGGCAAAATGTAGTACAAAATAAAAAAGAAGTGTACCATAAAAAACTGGAAACAGATAATTTTGCTGTTGATATTGCTGCAATATGCAATTGCCTCTCTAGAAGGTAGATGGCAATAAGTGCCCAGAATTATCAAGATGAATATTTTTTATGAGGATGATGATGGTGATCGTATAGAAACAAACTGAATAAATAATGATAATGAGAATTTATGAAAGCAGCTTGACTACACTTGATCCTTGTCTCTTCCTCAGATCCTGCACTACCTCCAAAGCCATGCTCACCCAGAGATGTTGAAAAATGTAACTCAAAAATTTTGCTTTTCCTTTATGGCCTTGAAATGAAGTTTAGTTCAGCTGCAATACAATCCTTTCTAAATTATTATAGTTTTTTGTGTGTGAAGGATTTGTTCGTCTTTGCTATTCTTAGATCATGTAACAACAGGAGAATAAATACACTGATGTACTTGACTAAGAAGTATTTATCTTAAGGTGGTCCTTTTGCAGATATATTTTAATAGATTATTTCTTTCTTACTTATTGAAACAAGCTACCGTGATTTGTTTGTGGTCGTTGCATAATGAGAGTCTTCCTTGATTAGAGGGCAGTGCAATATTATAGATTGTATAGTTAGAAGTTGTTGTTATCGATCCAGATCTTGTTAGAAGAGCATGTTGCATCCCCCTCAGCTCTGACAGGCAGGGTTGGAAGCATGCCTTCTAAGTAATCTAAATTGTGTAGATGGGGGCGTAAAACCACCTATATTAATATATTATTAACAGAAGTTGTTTGTTTTTTTCACTCACACGCTCACTCACAAACACGCACACACACACACACACACACACACACACACACTCACACACAAAAACACACATACCCATACACCCAAACACACACAACCACCCGCCCGCCCACTTACCCTTCCCTGTCTTATGTTGTCCTAATGCCACAGAGCCCAGTGGTGCCCCCAACCATCACTGACCAGGTCAAGCTGTGGGAGCTGGAGCGTGATCGCTTCAAGTTCAACGACGGCGTCATGTACAACCAGTTCCTCTCCCAGGCAGACTTTGAGCTGCTCCGCAACTACGCCAAGGTGAGACAAAAGATGAAAGACGCTACTTTTGTATAGAGTTCCGCATTTAATCTGTAACAGAACTTTAGGACCGTGATATAAAATTAAAGGTTTATTTATTATTTGGGTTTTAGACCCTTTTCAACGCACTGTCCATGTGAACGGTTGGCGGGTACTTTGGTGAGGTTTGTTCCTTCTTTCCTATGAAACATCTATTGACCTTATCTCTCCTCCTTCTTTTTAATGTTTGTTACTACTCTGTTGTAACACCTCTAATTTTCGGCATTTGTATGACCTGGTTGGGTTGCAAGTGCCATAAAACTCTAACTAAAACAACAAAACACAAACACTGTACCTGCCCTGGCCCTCCTACCAGTTGAGCAATGGAGTGATAACACACGAATGTCAGGGTTTCGTCATATGCCAACCCCCGCCCCCCCTAAAAAAAGAACAGCTGGCCCACTTCGCGCGGGTTAGCCTTGCCCACAATTATACCGTACATGAGTAGAAACATAGAAGCATTGCTGCCACCCTGCTGAGACCCAAGCAGTCTAAAAATGACATATTTTTGTTCGTTGTAATATAGTAATTTGAAGATGAGAGCACTATTACTAATTTTTATGGGAAATTACAAATTTTCTTCATGGTCATTACTAAAAACCATGGAGATGGGTTGGCAGCCCTGGCATTATATCGCTCTAAGAAACAGAAAGCAACCAATATTAAATGCATTCTCTTTATTGTTGTGCTTTTGTCATCCAAAAAGTACCTTGTATTTTTGCTAAGGAATACTTTTTCATAGCTTTTTGATCAGCTCCACAAAATGGATAGCTGTGAATGATATGCTATAGAACCTCAAGCTTTTAAAATACTTTTGGAGACTTTTTGGACATGTATGTCATTCAGTTTTCAGCATTGCCTGAAAAATTTGTTTTCCAATACAGTAGTCTCCGCCTAAACGCACGCCATACAAAAGCACGCTCCGCTCAAACGCACACTTTCGTCCTCTGACGGGTTTT